TGCGCGCGCACCCTCTGCCCCGCGCAGCCCCCCTGCGGCCGAGGCCCTGGGCCTGCGCGGGAGCCTGCCGGCTGCTGGGTGTAAAGTGAGGAGGAGCACGTGTCCCCTCAGTTCATCACTCGGCACTGCGGGGCACCGTGCGGGAACTCCTAGCGGGAGTGTGAGTGCGCTCGGGACCTGTGTCGGCACCCACCACCCCTCTTCCTGTTTCTCCAAGACAGACCCCAGAGTGAACAAGAGCCAGGCTGGAACGCAACATGGAGCTTTTGTGGGACCCAGAGATTTCTCCCATGTGGCAGCTCTCCTGTGCTGAGCCCCATCTCATCCACATACTAAAACTAAAAATTGAATGAACACCAGTGTTTTTAGAAATGACTGCGTTGTTCCATGTACTCTGAGCTCCCCAGGGGTCAGGGAACTGTGTGAGCGAGTGCTGACACTCCAGGCTGACATTAGGTGTGTGTCTTTATCACCACCTCTGCGATCACTCCTTCACATTTCCCAGTGCTTGCCAGTTTTGTACTTATCAGCTGACAAGTTTTGCTGACTCCCCCCTGTGGATTTCTCTTATTTACCTGAAACTATTGCCTGGCTCCAGTGGTTACTGGTTTTTGGAATGCAGCTCAGGAGTAGATCAAATGTTTGACCTGTGACCAGCCTTTAGTTTAATCCGTATCACCAAAAAGCCAGAAAATAACTTTTGGGGCTGGGAATGTGGCTTAATGGTAGAGTGCTTGCCTAGCATGCATGAAGCCTGGGGTTCAATTCCTTGGTACCACATACACAGAAAAATCTGGAAGTGGCACTGTGGCTCAAGTGGCAGAGTGCTAGCCTTGAGCACTGCAAAAGCAGCTCAAGGACAGTGCCAGACCCTGAGTTCAAGCCCCAGGACTGGAAAACAACAACAACAAAGAAAAACCTTTTCATCATGCACTAATTTCAAACATATAAACAGTTGTAAAAATAAGTTTCTACATATACTTCACACAGTCGTCCCTAACGTAGGCATCCGACATGTGCCCAATCCAGTTGTTACACCAGAAAATAATTCTGACACTATATTAACTGAAGACTGTAAATTTCATGAGATTTTCTTCCTTTCTTTCTTTCTTTTGGGGGGGGGTCCGGTTGTGGGGCCTGAACTCTGGGCCTGGGCGCTGTCCCCTCAGCTCTTCAGCTCAAGGCTAGCACTCTACCACTTGAGCCACAGCACCACTTCCAGTTTTTTTTTTTTTTGCTTATGTGGTGCTGAGGAATCAAACCCAGGACCTCATGCATGCAAGGCAAGCATTCTACCACTGAGCCATCTTCCCAGCCCGGAGATTTTCTATGTTTCCAGCATCTTATTTCATGTCGTCTTCCCAAATGGTGGCAATTCCACATTCTTTTGAGGCAATGTAGATGAGCCTGGGAAACTAAAATCAATAAATATTAAGGGACAGACTGCCACTAGAAGCAGATAAATGGAAGAATCACAGCAGCTAGTTAAGTTACAAAAATGGACAACAACCTGGGTGCTGGTGGCTCACGCCTGTCATCCCAGCTACTGAGGAGGCTGAGATCTGAGGATCTTGGTTCAAAGCCAGCCTGGGCAGGAACATCTGTGAGACTCGTATCTCCAATAAAAACCACTAGAAAACCAGAAGTGGCGCTGTAGCTCAAGCAGTAGAGTGCTTGCCTTGAGCTGAAGAGCTGAGGGACAGCGCCTAAGTCCAGAGTTCAAGCCCCACGACTGACAAAAACAAAAACAAAAAAAAGGACAACAAGGGATGATTTGTATTTTCTCCATTGGGATGTTAAGAAGCTGCAAATTCTTCATGGATATATGGAGATAAGAACCGAAAGGCATTTCTGGCAAAGTGAAGTGTTATAGGCCACCTATTATTCTGGTATTTTGAATAGATGGTAAGCCTACGCCAGTATCATAGGTATCAGCCACCAAAACTGGTTAAAAACTTTTAAGCCACAAAATTTGAAGTAATTAGTTACCATAGTAGCATAAAGTGAATATAAGTATCTTAGGGGAGACCAGGCAAATCCTGTTCATGTCAAATTTGCTGACTATTTTTCACAACTGCCAGTGACTCAGCCACTAATGTTGATTACTGGAATTCTACTCTAAAGAAGAACTGTCCTGTTTTCCCCTTACTTGATGAAGTACTCACTCTCATTCCTACATGAACTCTTGTGTGGTATGTGGCTCTGGCCATATTCCAGAACTATTAGCAACTGTCAGGTGCTCATTGGCACCAGCTGTGTCTGGTGAGAGCCTTCAGGCTGGTTCACAATCCCTGTCAAGGTTCATCTTTTTTGGGAAGCTTTTCTATTTTCTGGTTGCTCACTTAACACTGGCTGTCTTAGATTGCTCAGGCTGCTATAACAAAAATAAACCTAATGTAGCTTAAACACAACAGAAATTTACTGCCAGTTATGGAGGTTGTAAATCCGTGATCATGAAATGGCAGATTCAGAATGCCTGAAGAGGGTTGTTCCCTGGCTCAGAAATAGCATGTTCTTACTTTGTACTTATTTGTAGATAGGCAAAGCATCTCTCTAGTGTTCCTTTTAAAAGTGCATCAATAATCTTACAAAAAATCCTACCTTTTATCGTTTTGGTGGATTAGGATTTCATATGCAATTTCCAAGGGAACATGAATGTATAGTTGGCAGCCCCACAAGGAAATTAATCCTTCTGAGAGCACTCCCCCATACCCTCTGCAGACAGAGCTCACCTGCAGGGACCACCCATATGCAAATGAAGACTAAGTTCAGGCATTGGAAAGAAGCTGCAGTTGGAGGTGCTTAATGCTTGATCTCCATGATCAATGGGGTCCTGCAGAAAGAACCTCACATTATCTATTTCCCTTTCAGGCCCTCTAGAAGTTGGAGTAGGGTGGCAGCAGTGAGGAACAGGGAGACAGGGAGCATGGGTGAAAAAGGGAAATGGGGTCCCCTGACTTTGGGTCCTAGCTCCCCTCGCTGATCAAGAAGCAGGCCCACCATGTCTCCAGCGGTCCCTCAATCCCTGTGCCCTGACCCTTTCAGCATTTTGACCATTATTGCCATTTAGTTCCACAATAAACACGACAATAACCCAAACAGCAGCATGGACAAAATCTCATTTACATTTTCTTCCTGTGCTGGTACCACAACTTGAATTCAGAGCTTGTGCTTGGCTTTTTCCACTAACAGCTGCGTATCTTCTACTTGAGCCACACATAAAGTCCAGCATTTCACTGATTAATTGGAGATGAGAGTGTTGGGACTTTTCTTCACAATCCGTTGTGCCCCTCCTGCCCGTCCCCCCCTTCCCCCAACCCATCCTGGGGCATGAACTCAAGCTATCCTCAAGCTTAAAAGAAGCAAAAGGCTCAAGGATAAGCACTCACCACTTGAACCACAATGCCACTTCCAGCTTTTTCTGTGTGGCAGTATACCACTAGGCCACATTCCCAGCCCTATGTCTGACTTTTGAACATCAATTGTCAAATATCAGCTTCCTAGGTGGATAGGATTTTATTTATTTTCTCGGGGCCTGAACTCTGGGCCTGGGCGCTGTCCCTGTACTCTTCAGCTCAAGGCCAGCGCTCTCTGGCTTGAGCCACAGCACTAGTTCTGGTTTTCTATTGGTTTACTGGAGATAAGAGTCTCATGGACTTTCCTGCCCAGGCTGGCTTTGAACTGCCATCCTCAGATCTCTGCCTTCTGAGCAGCTAGGATTACAGGTGTGAGTCACCAGCACCTGGCTTCAAGTTTATTCTTGTGTGTGTTTTGGAATCAGGGCTTGGGCGTGCTGTTCCTGAGCTTTTTTGGGTCAAGACTAAGTAGGGTTCTACCTCTTGAATCATAGCTCTACTTCCAGCTTTTTGGTGATTAACTAGAGGTAAGAGTCTCATGGACTTACTTCCCTGGGCTAGTTTCAAACAGTCCTCAGATATCAGCCTCCTGAGTAACTAGGGTGGCAGCATGTTTAATTTTTAGTAAGATTTTTCCATAACTGGCTTGAGTACATTCAGCACTGCTGAAAACAGAAAGAAAATGCAACTCTACTAATCCTTCCTGAAGTGTGCTGTGAACCTGTTCCAGCAGCGCGGCCATGTCCCAAACTGGCACTTTCCTTACTGATGGACCAAAATGTAAGAGTGGGGGCACCCAGAGGTCCTTCGGCCTTTCTTCCGTCACTCCGTGACCCCATGCTGAGAGCTCGGCCGGGAGGGGACGGCAACCCCATGCTGAGAGGTGACCCCCCCATGCTGACATGACCCTCCCATGCTGAAGTGACCCCCATGCTGAGAGGTGACCCCCCATGCTGAGATGACCCCCATGCTGAGAGGTGACCCCCATGCTGAGAGGTGACCCCCCCATGCTGAGAGGTGACCCCCCATGCTGAGAGGTGACCCCCATGCTGAGAGGTGATCCCCATGCTGAGAGGTGACCCCCCATGCTGAGATGACCCCCATGCTGAGAGGTGACCCCCCATGCTGAGAAGTGACCCCCATGCTGAGAGGTGACCCCCATGCTGAGAGGTGA